TGTAAAGTCTGATGTGATGTCCACAAGCCGTTTCATCCCGTTGATAACTCTCTCGACCGTGGCGATCTCACATAGAGGAGCCCTCGCACATGGTGATCTCTCAGACGCTCAAAAGAAACAAGGAGACCTGGATCCCGAATAGGGCGGAACGCCCAGTCACGTGACTGCAGATTCCCTCAAAATTGTCAACGGCTTCTTGATCTTGCGGTTGTAACCGTCGATCTCACGTTATACGGAAGAGAAGGGAGGGATTTACGCAGTTTGAGGCACCGGCAAATCATTTTCTGCTCGGCACACAAAGCAGCAACCACAAAGCTATACAGCCACAACAACAACGATGGCACATCTTATCGAAGATCTCGTTTGAGATACAAGTCACGACGGTTGAACACAGTACTTGACAAGAACACCTTCAACACCTCTGTACAAGAGCACATGGGGCTACGACCTCTTTGGCCTCACACTGGGATCCCTTTGGAAGCCGCTCTCTTGACTGCCCCCACCGACTGAGACAAGTCATTCACCACTGGACTGATCTAATGGGCTCAACACCTTCAAGAAGACGCTCATTTGCACGAGAGAGAAGACAAGAACGTGTCCCCAGCCACTTCCAACGACCCTCTCAAACGACAGTGATCACAAAGTAGCTTCTGCTCTCCTTTCGAGGATGAACACAGACTGTCGTCCCTGAGTTGGCGATGTGAGGTGACGAAGCTGCTATCAGGAGTCAGACCGACAACCGATGGAAGAAGTATGGCCAGTATTGCCTTCGGGCAGAAAACTGTACGTCTTTGCATCGACCGCACAGAAGATGATACACTTTCGTGTTTGATTCTGGCCGGAGTGGAGCAACCCTTTCGAGGGTCTCTACGAGGAAGGCAGGCGAGTGTCTGACGAGGCTGTGGTGTACGGGGTATGGCCGTACCCAGCCCAGGTAGAGCGTCGGCGTTCCTTCTTCTCTCGTGTGCNCCGATGGAAGATGTACGGCCAGTATTGCCTTCGGGCAGAAAACTGTACGTCTTTGCATCGACCGCACAGAAGATGATACACTTTCGTGTTTGATTCTGGCCGGAGTGGAGCAACTCTTTCGAGGGTCTCTACGAGGAAGGCAGGCGAGTGTCTGACGAGGCTGTGGTGTACGGGGTATGGCCGTACCCAGCCCAGGTAGAGCATCGGCGTTCCTTCTTCACTCGTGTGCAGTGAGACGTTCACCGACACTATGTGCACGAAGGCTCAACTTTGAATAAATCAAACTGTATTCAATCTGTTTCTTTTCTCTGTACTCTTTCCATCTGATTTGACAATGAGAACGACCTTTGGCCGCGCGTTGCATCCCTCGACCGAATGGAAAGAAGAGTCTTTCACGAATATATCTCATCGATCGTCTAGATAGGAATGTTACGATCTCAGTCTATAGAGAGACACAGATGTGATGCACTGTGCTTGCGAAATTCACATTTCTTATTCTTCCGGCATTGTTCCGCGAAACACACGAGTTTTCTCCCACTTCTACGAGTTCTTTCTTCAGCTTCAGAGAGCCGATCCACACAATTCACACAACACGAAACAACACACGAACAACATGCAGAAGATCAAGAACATCCTCCACCACAACACGAACAAGTCAGACGACACCCGTCACCACACACTCGGCGGCCTCCTTCATCGTCACAAGGAAGAAGAACACCTGCCAGTGTCCGAACCCATCTTATCGGATCCTCTTCCAGCCTCCGAGTTGGTTCAGAGACAAGAGCTGCACGACGAGCTACTGGTTAAGAAGGAGATATTGACAACCGCCGGGAAGAGGGAATCGTTAGACGTCGAGCGATCTGAAGTAATGAGAGTCGGTGTCATCGAGCCAGTCGCTGCCACGACCGTCATCGCAGAACCTCTTAACGTGAAGCACGTCGAGAAGGTGAGCCCGATAGACATCCCATGACGGTGACTTAATTTCTTTCAGGATGTTGTCGTTCACGAACACATCCACCCTGTAGAGAAAGAAGAGATCCAACCCATCATCCACAGAGAACGTGAGCAGATGGAGGTCAGACAGATCACCGAGAGGTTGCACGAGACAGAGATCCAGCCCACGCTGATCGAGAAGAGAGATCTCGCACCGGAAGTCAGAGAAGTGATGGTGGAGAGATCGGCGCCCATCCCGGAGAACATCGTCCTTCCATCGGTCAGCGTAGACGCCACACTTCGATCTGTCGAGACCCATGCACCCATCGTGAACGAAGTGTGAGTCTTTCCATGCATTTTTATAGAGAAGACACTGAGATGTCCATCAGAATCAAGAAGACAGTCATCGAAGAGGTGCAACCCGTTTTAGAGAAAGATGTCATCGTCCCCACCATCATCCAAGAGACAAAACCCATCTATGAGAAGATCGTCGAGGCACCTGTTCTCATCCGTGAAGAATTGCCCGTGAGAGAGATCACCAGAGAGAAGGTCATCATCGAGAGCGAGGTCCTCAAGGGAAAGGCTTCTCCTCTCCTCCTCTAAATTTTGAAATCACACAACTATTTATGAAGCGATAAAAGAATCGTATTGATTTATGGATTTCATGCTTTGTCCATTGATGTGCATCTCACCAGTATCACATGTTTGTCATATATCTAAATCCTCACCTCCAATCAAATCCAGACGTTCGACGCTGTGTTCTACTCTCTTTAGAGGCTGTGTCGGCCATTGGCAATTCTTATTCAAAATTCAAATTCTAAGAACGTCTTAATCTTTCACCGAACGGAAATGGTCTTCACCGAAAAACTTCCAGCTGGACACACCAACATCATAAAACCCCAACATCATCGCGCACAAACACGAGCGGGATGGAACTCATCGATCACAACGAGTGCGCCGTAGCCGATCGTGACCTGCCGTATCTCAATGGTCTACCCGCATCGAAGGTTTCCGATTACTTGCTGGGAAGAGATCGATCCTGGCTGACCGATTCAGAAGGTGCACGAGACGATACAACTCATAGTGTTCTAATCGACGTCGATAGGTGATTATGACGAGCTGGATGACGAGGACCTCTTGGAATATCTGGGACTGCCTCACGATGGTCGAACTCCAGTTCTATTGACGGATCTTCTTCCTCAACAGAACTCTTCTCTCATCAGCAGCTCTGCATTCCTGAAGAATAGTGGTCACATTTCATCCGTTGAAGCATCGGATCTCTCGCTGGACAGGTGAAAGACAACTTCATCACAACATCCGACTGAGATTGAAAGATCTCTCGATGTTTTAAGACAGAGCTTGGGTATGGTTGATGATGACGATGTGTTGATCGTAAAGCCAACTGAGGAGAAGGAGAAACAGACAAGATGTTTCATCTGTTTGGAAGACTTGGTCGATTGTGAAGATCCAACCACTGTGGAGGTAAACCATTAATGCACTTCCATCGTGTGATTCTGACTTTTCCAGGGATGCAACCACGTCTTCTGTCGAACCTGTCTCGCGAATTACATCGACTTCAAATCGAAAGACGCTCAACGTCTTTACCATCGAATCACATTGATCACCCGCGAATCACCCCAAGTGAGATGGATACTTGTCTGATTCGATCTCATCATCGAAGGTCGTGAGGGTCGAAGACATCAACGCTTACGGTATCTCTTGCCCTGCATCTGACTGCACTCATGTGATGCTCATCAATGAATTGGTACCCGTTGCAGAGATGTCCTCCATCCAGAGATTCCTCAACGTCTCTAGAAACCACACAGAAGACTTGGAACGTATCAAAAACTTGACGCCTATCAACGAAGAGAAACCTCGTGCGTATCTTTACAATCGTATCACATGATTCGTCCATCATCTCACGTCCGATCAGGTTGCTTCTGTGGTTCCCAAGACATCTACACCATTCGATACGGTCGACTCCGTTGTGCTCGGTGCCACGCTGTTTTATGTCCACAATGCATGGAGAGACATCCCCGATGGAGGGAATGTGGATGGGTGAGACCAACCAAAGGGCCCAAGTTTGAGGTGTTCAATTACAGTCAAAGAGTCATCCAGTGTCCGCGTTGTCAGATGGCGGTAGAGAAGAACGAAGGATGCAACCACATGACGTGTCGATGTGGAGCCCACTTTTGCTGGAACTGTGGAGAAGAGCAAGAGCTCAGCACTGTCTACCAGCACACGGGACGATGTACAACAAGCCGAGCGGAGGTCATCAAATTGAATGCATTCAAGGGTAAAAAGAGATACTGACGATCATCTTGTCTCTTTTTTGATGTCCGTCGTGATAGACGAACGATTTTATCCATTGCTCGTGTTATTGTGCGGCCCATGCGAATATTGACCTTTCTTTTTCACTCGGTACGATAACGCAAAATCACCATGGATACTCGTCTTCTTAACGCGCTTTTTTAAAAAGGTAAATAATCGCTTGGGCCGCACAATATAACAGAGGAGACAGTCTCACTTCTTTTGAAGATCATTCACCCATGATTACACGTCGATCGACCACAACGTCTCATCACATCTCGTGGGAGATGATCGACAAGTTGCAATGGAACGACTAGAAGAAACCCTGCGTGTGATTCTCCTCAATGAGTCGACCCGTTCTCTCTTCGATGTCGTACGTCCCAGCAGTTTGACCTCAACTTTTTCTCGTGCGTCCTTCCGGACTTTTGTAAGAGCACAAGCGGATGTTGTCTTGATCTTCATTTTCATCTGATGACAACGGTTGTTCTACCTCATCCAGACGATTCATGTCTTCTCCTGATGAAAGTAGAGAGGGAGATGTGCGCGTGTATTGTGTTCCGAAAAAATCGACAGCAGTGAGATTTGAACTCACCACCCTCCTGGGACCGGATATACTAGTTTCGCATCTACAATGACGAAATAAATACCGAAAAATCGAAACATTGGATATTCGTTCGAAACGCTTGCAGTATAAATTCTGAAAAATAATAGCGTGAAAGACGACGTTCAATAACATGATATAGCGGTGTAACATCTTCCAAAAAGCATGTCTTAGCATGTAAAAAAGACGACAGCAGTGAGATTTGAACTCACGCATCCGAAGATAGTAGATATCTATTTTTAGATTCGAGTCTACCGCCTTAACCACTCGGCCATGCTGTCTTGATGTGTGGTTTCTCTGTGTATAGTATATGTAACCCAAACATAATATCAGAAAGAAGCTGACCACAACTGATGGCATTGTGGGCAGATTGTCAAGGACACACTTTCGCACAGTGGACACAACTCAATGACACATGCAGTGGCCAAACTCACCAGACTGAGCAGGACACCACAAGTCAGTGGTGTAAGGGACTAAACATTTCAATTAGCTTGACATTCAAGCTTGGTATGCTCACAAAGTTGTCAAGGACCAAAAGGTAAACCATGACATGTGTCAACTTAAAGCCAAGTCCTGCCAAAGGTCCTCCCTGCTGACAAGAAGAGGCCTTTGATCTTGAAGCAGATCTAGATGACACCCTCTCAATGACTTCCTTACCTTCATTGTATCACTGCAATTCAATGGACAAAATGCAACGGAAGAACTGAATCAGGTAACCATTGACAGCTTTGACACAAAATGATCATCATGTGATGCAAAGTGACAATTCTTCTCTTTATTTGCCCTCTTTGTGTGGTGATCACCTGTGACCAAACATCTGTTGAAATAACATCTCAACCTATCTCTGTCAGTTTTACCTTCACACATGACTCTTCTCACTCTCTCATCATCTTCATCTCCTTCTTCTTCATCATCACCGTACATGTCACCATCTTCATCGTCATCGTCATCATCATCATCATGTCCGTGATAGTGTCCTCCGTATTCGTCATCTTCCTCATCATCTTCCCAATCATCCATCTCATCAGAAAATACCCTGTCCATCATCAACATCCATCGATCATCAATCACATGAGTCATCAATCACATCACATCACATCAATCACATGAGTCACAACACATCACAACACATCACAACACATCAATCACATGACATGACATGACATCACATCATGATCTTCACCTGATTCTGGATACGGTGTTCGATGCAGGTAGTTCACCCCATTCGACCGTACGGATGAACCTCTGATCGTAGGTCACATCGATGATGTCCTCCTCTGAATTGTAATCCATCGCAGCCAGTGGACCACTACCGTTGAACTTTGATTCCGAGCCAAAGTAACAAGAGATCGTGGGCCTCACCGCTGGCTTCTTATTTCTGGGTAGATCCTTCTGTTCCTATCTACAATGAGCCAACGGAAGAACGGAAGAACGGATAATCGGAAGAACGGAAGAACGGATAATCGGAAGAACGGATAATCGGATGAATGTACCTTGAGGACACCGCAGTTGTTGCAGAAGGGGTCAGTGGATGGTACTGGATGAGTGCAGTGTGTGCAGATGTGATCGGATGGCTTAGGCTTGGCGCTGCACATCTCTTCTCCGTCGATGTGATGCTGATCTTCTATGAACTGTGATTGTGTCACGACCCGATGATGATGATGAGGATTGTGTCATCATGATGAGCAAGATCGGCAGATGATGCTGCTGATGAATACAATATCGTCATCAGCTGATGATACGTGATGAGATCGTGATCACCTCCACTTGATCGAACGAGAACTTGAAATTTCCCACGCTCGTCCCCAATTTCTGGATGACCTCCCCGTAACTCTTCATCCCCTCCATCTGCGGCTACCCCGGCGTCACGAATATTTGCGACGCCTCCCTCACCTTCCCCGTGACATCCGGAGGAAAACTCAGCACCGCCTTCACTTGTTGGGTTGTCTCTATCAATAGTCTCTTGAAGCAAGTGTCGTCTCTTAAGCTTTCGATCAAGTGTGGTCTCAGTTCTTCATAATCGATGTCTTCAGTCGGTGTGAAATTTGCGTCACATAAGAGGTAGCTGGGGGAGGAGGGTGAGTGGCGAGTTGTAGTGCGGGGTCACACCTGTGGAGGACGGGGATGGTGTCGCAGTGGACTCGGGTCTGGAAGGACCGTACAGTTTTGGCGGGAAAAGTGGGGCCGGTGGCAGAGTGTAGATCATGGATCCCTCTCAGGTACATCGATTTGAATGCCTCCCCTGTCTCTATCAGTCTCCGATTTACATTTCTCCTTTTCATTTGTTCTTCATTTCAAATAAATCTCTCTTATTCTTCTCATCTATATCGGATCGATTTATATCTTCTTCTCCCTTCTACATCTGATCTATTTCTTCTCTATTTCTCATCTTCAAACTCTATGCCACTCACCTTCAGCTTGCATCATGGCTGTGATCATCCTCTCGATCTCGATCGTCTCTGCCATGATGAAATATCTTCCTTGTGTAGATATCTGCTCCCCAGGTGTGAAATCTCTTCGTAATCTCCAGCTGCAGCGCTCTTCGGCAGTTACGCATACACGGCGTGTGTAGATGGGAGGGGAGACGTTCGTATCGAAGACCAAGAGACTCATATCATCTTTCAATCTGTCGATTGTGAATCGATCGTCTTTACTCTCGATGTGTTCGGTTCATCATGTGATGATCATGCAGCATGTTGGTGATCATGCTTCATGTGATGATGTGATGTAGACATCATCATCATCAGGTCGGACGTTCACGTTGTGATGGATGGACTCACTCGTAATAGATCATTCCCTTGATGTCCTTCACTTTCACGTCCCATCTCATGAACCTTCCCGCCTTGAACTTTTGTACCAACTGGTCCAGAATCTACATCGCGTCAGATCTCTCCTTCTCTTTTTTCATATTTTCTCCAACTATTTTCTCCTATCTCTTTCGATTCTATATTCTCCGTAATTTCCTCACCTTCTCTACTTCTTCTTCTCCCTTCGCTCCACGGTTGGCCGTCTGTGCGTTCAACTGCTCTGCCTTCTCCACGCAAAAGTAAAAGTGAAAGAGAGAAGTGGCAGGATCGTATTTCAACCTCGTCTGGCCCTCGTAATCGTGATCAGGCGACCACTGACCCACTCGAATTCTTCCCAACGGAATTCCGGGCTGATATTTCGATGAGATCTACGGTGGTGTGTCACTCACCTGAACCCAATCGTCATGAATGATCTTGTCTCGATCGCGGCGGTAGTGTAGATCCTCGTCCCACGTTACGATCTCCTGAATGGTTCGTCAGATGCAGTGAGACAGCGTGTGGGGACGATGGACATCGATTGGATGGGAGAGGAAAAATTTTCTCTTCGTTCGGTTGATCATACGATCGATGCCGCTTTCGTGTGGATGTGAAGAATAAAAGTGAATAAAATGTTCTCGTGAATTCACCTGATCCATGTCATCGTTCCAGAACGGAGCCATCTGGATGACTCTGCATTCGCAGGAGTAAGACATGCGATCCTTCCACTCGACCTCTCACCTGGCTTTCTTCGTCTCCAGTAAGCTCTTGCATCGATCGTGCATTTCCTTTGGAAACGTCACGTTCGGTAGACGATTGAGGGTGGGGCACTGAGACACTGCTCTATCTAACATGGCTTTCGAAGGCTGAGACGGGTGCAGCCACTTCTGTTCGATGGCGTTCTGAAGAGGTGAGATCTCGTGTGGATTCATGCGATGGACGAGATGGATGCATCTCTTGCGTTCATTGTGATGGAGGGATGGATCACCTTGATGTCTTTGATCACGTGGGACAGAGCGGGTTCTTTGTGGGCTGCTGCCACCTGAAGAGTCAGATGAGAGAGATGTGGATATGAGATCGATCACTTGATAAGATGGAGCGGCCATGATGGCTTGGAAGGTATCGACGAAGAGGGCACTGTTGAGATTGCTCAAGATGGGCTCCCAAGTTTCGGGAGAATGCATGCTCTCCTGAATGAACATCAGGAGAGGACGATCGGGCGATATGTGACACACGTGAAAGAGATGGTGGATGGCATGATATTGAAAGTCTTCATCGTCCTCGTCATCATCATCGAATCCTCCGCCCATCATCGCTGCAAAGAGATCTTCCATTCCACCTGTCGATTTATCACTGACAAACTCGTATCATTCCATCGAAGCGAAAGAAACTCACGTGGCATGCCTTTGGGAACGTTTCCACGTGCGTGAGAGTGTCCGTGAGAATGGGAGTGATCATGGCTGTGCCCGTGACCCCCACAGGGACCATGTCCATGACTGTGCGAATGATCGTGTGAGTGATCGTGACTGTGATTACTGCTCGTACTGGGCTTCTCTTTGGGAGCTTGTTTGGGTGCTTGCTCCTGCACCTCAGGTTCTGATTTTGGGGGATCATTCTTGTGCTTAGGCTTGGCCTTCTTCTTGTTTCCACCTTTCTTCTGTCCCCCTTTTGCCATTGTTGCTGATGACGATGATCGATCCGACAGCCGATAAATTTTACCATCTACAACGGTCAATTTGCAATGAGCAGCGTCACGGGCCAAGTGTTGTACATAGGCGAAATTATGGTTAGATAAAGAGACGAAGATTAGCCGTCCTTCCTGAACTGGACGAGTGATTTATCAGACTATTACTGGACAGTTCCTTGCGAGAAGTTGCAATGTAAACCAAAGACTTCGATGTCGTTTAGGGAGCCTTGAAAGAAGCAACATTTGTCGTGAGGACATCCCAATCTAGAGTTACTCGTAGGCCACTTCGATCTTTCATGTGTTCATTTTTGGCCCCTACTTTTTCCTTGACTTTGACCACTGACCATTGACCGCACCCTCGGTTAGTTAGCCGTGATGTTCACGTGAGTTACCGAGAATATGTCAGTCAATGGTCAAGGTCAAGGTCAAGGAAAAAGTAGGAGCCTCATTTTTCGATGAAATTTTGCCACACGCATTTTGACAATTGTCCGCGGACAATTGATTACCTTTTTTACTGGTTAGAAATGTCAACGTCTCTTCATCGTTAGAATTCTAGACAACGATCGTCATTCTGACCATACAGAAACCGCACACCCTCACTCAGTGCAACATGAGAAGCCAAGTCCTCTTCTGCTTTATCCTCTGCCTCTCTGCTGCTTCGGCTGGAGTCTTCACGTGGAACACCACCTTACCAGGATGTTCTGCTTCGATTGGATACATCGACTTTAACACGGCAGCATGCTGGAATGGTGGTGGGTTGGTATGTAGACGGATGACTCACCTAATCATCATCTGACGGAACGCAGGCCCC